TGAAGGTTGGTTTTGTTTTTTTTTTAATTAGGTAGACTATATTGTTTAATGGAACCATCTGAAATAGATTTTTGGCCATTTTCATATAGTTTGAGCTAATGGAACGTGTTATACTATTGCGAATGAGTTAGTGATACAGGAGGAGACTGGTGGAACAGTATTGAGTATTTAACCCAGTGGTTCTCAACCTTCTTAGTGCCGTGACCCTTTAATACAGTTCTTCATGTTGTGGTGACCCCCCCAACCATAAAATTATTTTCATTGCTACTTCATAACTATAATTTTGCTACTGTTATGAATTGGGCAACCCCTGTGAAAGGGTCTTTCAATCCCCAAGTCCCGACCCACAGGTTGAGAACCACGGATTTAACCAAAGAAACAAAAGTCTTTGAGCAGTTGAGAGAGAAAGGAATTCCACACCTTGGGTTGGCCTTTGAGGCAGGTGGTGGTGGGTGGGGCATTGAGAGGATGCCTTTATTCAGCTGTAACAGGAATGAAGGAGGTGGTGTGTAGATTCTACCTTGCATGATTGATCACAGTAACTCAAATCTCCAACCATTAGTGTCATATGTGGGGCTAATAATTATGTAATGTGTTTATGCCTAGACACATTGAGTGGTTTTATTCTTGGGGCTGTTTACAGATCCTTTTCTGCCCTGGTAGACTCTACATTTGTGCAGTTGAAAGTCTTTGGTATTAGCAGTTTTTTTCCTTTTCTGCAGCTCAGTTTTTCTCTATCACCAAATGCAGCATAAATCACGTATTGCTACCTCCGTCCCCACCCCTCAGCAGTGTACCACCGTGGCCTCTACAGCACTGATTAGCAAATCAGAGAATACAGTGTCTTTCTCACAAGTGATTTTCTTGCCCTACAGAAAATTGTCTTTTTCAATATTGCTGTCAGTATTCTTTTACTGGGCCGCATAATTGAAACATTTTCTATGATTTTAGTTTCTTTAATGCAGACTAAAGTACATCCCTTTCAGGTCACTCCACTCTTCTCTGTCACGTGCAGAATTTGCTTGCGAGGTGTTTATATTTCAAGAATTGAACTGTGTAGAGGGACGGAACTTTTATTCCAATGTGATATATAACATATTTTAAAAAATAATTATCATTAGACCACATGATGACATATCCCTGGGTCACAGTTTTCTCCATGCACATTTAGTACAGATTTCCAGGTCCAAAGGAAAACCAACTATAAACTCATTGCTATTGAGTGGTTTCTGGCTCACAGTGACCCTTTTAACCGGCCTAGAGTTGCCTCTGGGGGTTTCTGAGAGTATAATCTTCATGGGAATAGAAAGCCTCTTCCTTGGAGTGGCTGCTGGTTTTGAATTGCTGATCTTATGGTTAGCAGCCCAACACATCACTCACTATACAACCCAACTCCAAAAAATCAAACTCACACACATCGGGGCGATGCTGACTCAGGAGCCCTAGAGGACAGAGTAGTAGATAGAACTGCCTCTGTGTAGAAAGCCCCATCTTTCTGCCTCCCACTGCTGACCTTGCAGTTAGCAGCCCAAGGTGTGACCACTACACCACTAGGTTCTGATCATTAATTATACCTTTGAAGTTATAATAAGATTTAAAGCTGTCTATAGTACCCCTGGACTCCTTTTTCATGAAACACCTCCTATAATAGCTGCTTTGATACTACTCTCACAAATAGGTTATGGGACCAGGGCTGTAATAAAAATAGTTTTTGATGTTCATCCCCCTAGGAGGGGGTTTCAGTGTAAGATATGAAAAAAAAAATTTATAAATTATCAAGGGTTTATGAGGGGAGGTAGGGTGGAGAAAGGGGGAAAATGAGGAGCTGATACCAAGGGCTTAAGTTGAAAGAAAATGTTTTGAAAATGATGATGGCAACATATATATAAATGTGCTTGACACAATGGCTGTATGTACGGATTGTGATAAGAGCTGTAAGAGCCCCCCAATAAAATGATTACAAAGGGAAAAAAACTTTTTTGGAAGTTTTCCATCTCATTGCATGCTTGTTGGACTGTTGGTATATTTCTTGGTTCCTTGGCTCTAAAACTTTTCTTGAAGATTCAAGATGATCTGGAGAAATGTGGGCCTCTGTGTATTAATTAATATGTGGTCCGTTAAGATGCCACCATTATAAAGTCTAGTAGGATGATGACATGAGCCCAAGCTTAGGTCTTATTTCTGAGATAATGCAGTTTTACTACTGGGAAGAGTTAACTCCTTGTAATTCTGCTTGGAATCAGAAGAACTTGATTTACGGTGACCTGCTGTAATTGAAATTGGTAGCATTTCTGAAGTCGACTTTGTAGCTTTTGTATTAGAAATATTCAGCAGAATCCATCAGAAGTGATTTCTTTGAAAATGTCACAGTTCATTGGTAGTGTGATAATTAGTGAGGAAAAGTTTCTTCCTTTGATAGCCTGTTGGTTTTGTGAAAATATATACAGATGAGACTTCTGTGCACCTGGCTAAAATATTTTATCGTCTTTGAGTCACCTGTAGATGAGACCATGGGGCTTCTTTTGGTCATTCAACTGAGAACCATTCCTTGCCAACACCCAGGTGTGCTGAGAAAGGAGTGGATGTATGATACTCTTCAGCAGCTCTGTTGACCTGGAATCTTCATGGTTCAACTGGCTTTTTCTTAAGTCCTGAGCTAATATTGCGCTGATGCTTCAGGTTTCTTGTTTTTACTTGTAAACTGATGTTTATTCTCTCTTGCTTTTCAATTGGGGCAGTGGGGCTCATCTTGCAGGATTTCTGTGTGTAGCCTTTTCGTTTCCTGCTTCTGCATCTGCTGCTGAACAGGCTTCAGAGTTCCACCTGGTGCTGACGTAGTACAGCACCTTGGGGGTGATGGTTGCCTTAAAGGGCTACACCTTTGACACATAAGGGGCTATTTCTGTTACATGCTTCTAACTGGAGAGTGGATGTACGATACACTTCAGCAGCTTTGTTGACCTGGAATCTTCATGGTTCTGCTGGCTTTTCTTTTTCATCTGTCAGGTCTGTGGAAGGGACATGGCCATCTTGGGCGCTGCCTCTCCAACTCCAGAGCTTTGGGTCTCCATACCAGTGTTGGCTTTACTGTCTGTCTTTCGGAAGATAATTTGCTTCTAATTTTTGATTACCCTTTTTTATTTTATTTTAACATTTCTTCCCTAGTTTCTTCAGATTACTGTTAGTTCTCGCACTGCTTGGAAGACTGGCCTTGATGTCATAGAAATCAGACTGCTTGCTTTTCCCCTTTTGTAAAACTGACCTATAACCTTTGCCTCTTCATTGCTGCTCATCCTTTCCCCAGCTTGTCCCCACGCCCTATAACCTTTTCTATAATCCTATAACCCCTACCCCCTCACAAACCAGTTGCCTTTGGATTGCTCAGGCTTGCATGGAATGGGCTCTCACTGTTTGTCAAACCAGAACTGTGCCACACAGGATTTGCAGTAACTGATTTTTTAGAAATAGATCACCAGGTTCTTTTTCCCTGATGCCCCTTTGGGTGGACTTCAACTTCAAACCATTTGGTTAGCAGCTGAGTGTGTTAACTATACTGTCCTAGGATTTCCTCCATCACAAAATCAACACATTAACTTTAAGGAAGACTATAAATAAGCCCTAACCATGTTTACCATCTTGGTGCTTGGCCCTCATGTCTTTTGAAAAGGATATCATGTCATACCTACTATGTTAAAGCTGCTTTATCTCCTAGAAATACGTTTCCATATATTTTTGTTTTACTTCTAAATTTTTGAAAATGTTTCCATGATATAGTTGTAACCCTTCAGCAGCCTCCTGTTTTTCTTTTAGATATTTTCTCCTCATTTTGAGCCTTTCTTACTGTTTATACTTACTGGTGATAGACTGGTGACCAGGGTTGTTTGTTTACCTTTTCACACGTGTGCGCACGCAGATATGACTCTTTTTTAAGCTTGAATTTGGTCTTTTAAAACATGTCTCTAGGCTACTGGTAGTTATAATATCACTGGGGTATTCTGTGTTCATATAGGCAGAGAGCCATATCTTAATTATATTTGTCTTCTCAGTATGTAGCATTATGTCTGGCACACTGGATGTTCACAGGAGAATTATGATTGAGTTCCATAAATCTAAGGGTCATTTAACAATTATAGGAGTACTTGGAACCCAGTATATAGGGCTAATCAGACATTGTCCTTATTTTCATGATGCTTAGAATCCATAAGCTGAGGCAGTATTCTATGTAACAAGGTTTATATGATCGAGACAGCAAGTCTGTTAATGTGACGATCAATTAAAAAGTAGCAACAGCAACTAAAAGCACAGTATAGTAAAAGCGATATAAGTGATTTATACTGTGGCTGCTTGGTGGTGGTGGGGGCTATTCATGCCAGTCTTCTTAATATGTTTGGCTAATTTAGAGTTGAGTAAGTGATTTTTGTATAGATGGTATTTCTAATTTAGTTTTGTCCATGTTATGGATGGAAATGAAATGATCACCTTCAGGTTTGTGCATTGCGATTTTTCAAGTACCGTATATACTTGAGTATAAGCCAACCCGAATATCAGCTGAGGCACCTATTTTACCACAAAAACTGCCTTAAAAATGTGCTGAAAAACTCGGCTTATACGTGGTATATAGGGAACTAGAATTAATTATGTTTAAATGGACTATTTCATACCTGAGTATAATCTGCTTATCACTGTATTTAATGATTCCAGAGGCTGGCTTTTGGGTGGGTTTTGTAATAAGGAATAAACCCCAAATTTTTGGTGTATCTGTTGCACATTTTGAAATATGATTAAACGAAGATTGCAGCCATGGAAAAGATTTTCTGCTGTGAATTGGTGTTTCAACCCTGCCAGCTGTTCATGCTTTCTGCGATCCCACTTATAAAAGTGGAGAGTGAAGGGTGAGTGGCTGCCTTCTTGGGCAGGCACATAATTAAAAAAAAAATGTGTTTGCCTCAGCAGTGCTATATTAGAGTTTCATAAAGCTGCCTTTTTCTCCTTTATTGTAGGGCCAGCTCTCAATGTTGCAAGAAAAAATAGACCATTTGGAGCGTTTGCTAGCTGAAAATAATGAGATCATTTCAAATATTAGAGACTCAGTCATCAATTTGAGTGAGTCTGTGGAAGATGGTCCGAAAAGTTCACAAGGCAATTTCAGTCACGGTCCTGGCTCGTCTCTCCTGTCATCGCAGCAGTCCTCCCTCGCAATCGACCCCAAAGACTGTCTGTTTGCTTCACAAAGTGGAAGTCAGAATTCTGATGTGCAGGTGATGTATGCATTTATTAATAAATAATCACTGGGCTTAAAAACATTTTTTTCCCTCTAAAGAATTCATTCACTACCTGTTTGAACTCTTTAAGTCACTTAAACATTTTGGGTTCTAATTACTGTCTTTCTTTGTATAGTGATTTGATTAATCATGTGATAATTAATCAGGAGAAGGAGGAAGCTCTTTTTGCTCCCGTTAAGATTTACAGTTTTAGGACCCCATAAAGAGAGTCGCTGTGAGTTGAAATCCACTCCAGAGCTGTGGTTGTTGGTGGGTCAGTGGTGAGTGGTCATTAACAGATAAAAGTCTTTGGATCTTATTTTTGTCCTTATTTTACAGTTCTGTGAAGGGAGGTTTTTTTATTTTATAAATACATTTCAGGTTTTATTTCTGTATTGTTTAAGACCTTTGGTGGTTTAAATTTAGTCAGACTGTTTTAGCTTCTTTGGCAAGTAAGAGAAAACCCTACTGTCTAACTGTGATACCAGTATAGATCTCAAACAGTGTAGGATTTTTTTTCTTCTGGAATAGTGTTTGGTGTGAGGGAGAAGGAAATTTAAAGTTGTATCCTCCAACATGGAAGACACCGTCTACCTGTGATCACTGGAAAAGTGCTTCGTTTGAAGTGAGATGTGCTGTAGGTGTGGAGTACACGTAAGGTACAGAAGGCATGAACCAAAATGCCCAACTCATTGTCATCCACTCAGTGCTGACTCACAGCAACCCCTGTGGGTTTCTGAGACTAAAGGTTAGCAGTAATAGAAAGAAAGGCTCGTCTTTTTCTGAGGAACTGCTTGCAGTTTTGAACTGCCAGCCATGCGGATCACAGCCTAGTGTGTAACCATTTGACCACCAGAAGACATAGTAAACCCCAAAGGCTCTTGAAATGTTCTTTTTTAACAGTGATTATCTTGAGATAGTATTTTGAGTATATTGGGTACACTAGCATGTATAATTAAATTGATTTCACCTATTTTCAGTTTCACTAAAACATTTAAAATGACATGTTTGGCTTGCGTTATATTTCTATTGGGCAGGGTAGGGAAAACAAGAGCTAAGCTCATTGCCGTTGAGTTGATTCTGACCCAGGTGTTACAGAATTGAACTGCTCGAAGGCAGAGGAGTTAAAACGCAGATGCAGAAAGGACCTTTCCTTTTTTGTACTCAAGCTGTGTCACTCACATAGTTCTGTTCTGGCTGTTAGCAGAGGGCTGTGTTTAACTTTAGACCTGAAACTGGAACTTGATGGGAGGACCCTCGGGTGAATATTTTAAAGTCAAATCAAATGAGTTGGTTTCTGGCCTTGCTATAGAGCAGGGCTTTTCTGTAACTCCTCAGGGCATAGGACAAGGTAAAGTCTAGAGACCCTTGCTGACAGGCCAAGCCATGAGCTGGGGCAGCAGAGCTGACCATGTTTCGCTCTTGCAACCACAGCAGCTAATGTGTGACCAGACTCGTAGGATTAGAATCCTGTCCACTGCAAGGAGACCTGTTTCTGTTGGGCTTGGTTTTGTTTAGCATTTAATTAAGTAACTTTTAAGCACCTCATTCTTGCTCTCTCTGCCCTCGAGTTGGTTCTGACTCACAGTCACCGTCTAGGACAGAGTAGAACTGCCTCTGAGTTTCTGAGACTAAATCTTTACGGGAGTAACAAGTATCATCTTTCTCCCATGGAGCTTCAGATGGTTTTGAACTACCGGTATTGTAGTTATCAGCCCAGGTTAAGAGAACCACAAAGGTTTTGCTGTTTTTTTTCTAGTTCAAAAAGGTGTTGTAGAGCATACGGAAGGTATGGAGTAAGAAAGAGCTATGAGTGCTGTGGGGCCAAAGAAAGAACTGGAAGGAATAACAGAGACTGCTAACATATCCTCCAGTCCAGCTGGTTCCCCAGAGATTTATTGGCTCATCCATGGGAGGGTTTTATTTGTGAAAGTCTGAAGTTTCTTTCTTTTAAAAAAAATCATTTTATTGGGGGCTCATACAACTCTTATATCCATCCATCCATCCATCCATCCATCCATCCATCCATCCATTGTGTCGAGCACATTTGTACATTTGTTGCTATCAACATGTTCAAAACATTTTCTTTCTACTTGAGCCCTTGGTATTGGCTCTTCATTGTTTGCCCTTCCCTCCCCCCAAAGTCCTAAGTTTCATAGCCAGAGATACATGTTATTGCTTTAAAATATTCTGTATCCTCTTGCATAATTGACTTACTTTCTCTGAAAGCTAATATATGAGACTCATTTATATATTAATGAATTATTTTTCTACATTCTAATTAATTTTAATGTAATTTAACTTTAAAAAAAGATTGAGTGGCTGTGTTCTTTTTCACATTTAGTATTATAGAGTGTATGAAGACCAAAACTAAGTTAAAGATGATGTTTTGGTAGCATTTTTCCTTGGTGTCCAAGTGGATTATTAGTTACAAGGAAATCTGCATCAGAAGCTTAAACAGTATTTAAATACTTAAATGTTAAACCGAAAATTTAAAACATTCCTCCATTTTTAAGTGAGTACACTTAGTTAATCTTGTTGGTGCTTTATTTTTAGAGTTAAAAAGATAAGCATACATAAGCTGAAAGGATGCATTTTCATTCAGATATGGATTTTAAAAATATACTTACAGACTTCCAAAATCTCATTGAAAAATGGAATGAAAAAGTAATGAAATTTTTCATAACTGTTTTGAATCTTCCTACTATGAGGCTGATTATAAAGTGAAGACATTGTAAATAGAATAAAAAAATCACTTTCATTACTATATTTGAAGATTCAGAAACATTTTCTGAGTAATCTGATTTCAGCAGAATTTGTGTTTGCTGCTCAGTTCCTGTCACATTGTATTGGAAGTAAAACAAGAGAAGAAGGCAATGCATGAAACTATTTTATTAGAGGCAGGTGAGTGAGGGGAGACTTATCAGAGACTTCAGGACAGTCGTGCAGCACAAGTAGAATTTTTACGTTTTTAAATGATGATTAAATCGCCAGTTAACTTTTTTTTTTT